TCTTGGATAAAACGGGGTTTTAATTGGGTGTAAAAAGAGGGAAAGTCTTTAAAGGTATCATAGATAGTTTTAGGCATGGTTATGAATATATTTTTTAAAATAGTTTATTATGGTTAGCAAAAAAGTTATTAAATGTCAACAGTGCCAACAAGAAATAAAAGCAGGAGAGGGTAATTTTAAAACTAAACTTCATGATAAATGTAATGAAGGGTTTTTTAAGGAGCTTTTAAGTAATTATTAATTGTTTTAATCTCAACTCTCTTCATAAGTTAAAGGAGGTTTGTTTTTATAATTATATTTAGCAAAACGAGTTTTCATTAAGGCTTTGTGATAACCAACATAATCAGAATACCAGGGATTTTCTCAATGACCACCATGGGAAGTTTTTTTTTCTTTTTCATACTCATCAATGATTTTCTTGTGTTTCAGATAATAATTACTGGCTGTGGTTCAATAATTTTTCCTAATTTGAGGGTTATTTCTAACCAAAGGAGGCAAGTCATAATATTGTTGTATAATGCTACCTAGTCCTTCAAGAACTCCTTTTACTTTTGGTTGAAAATTATACTTTTTTTCATAAGCACTTATATGAGATACCTCATGGGGAACTGTTGGAAAGAACATTTTCTTATTCCTTAAAGTATACCAAGGAATTTCTATTTTTCTAATAGGAGCAGATGCCACTCCCCATTTTACTCTTTCTCCTTCTTTTGGTTCCCTTCATTCATTCGGACAATCAACATTCACTCCCCAATTAGGTAAACAATGATTAACCATTTGAGGAGCCACTAGTCTATGTTCTTCCTCTAATTGTTTATCTTCACAACGATTATCACAATTTAATCCTCTTTCTTGGATAAACTCCTCATTACATTTGGGACATTTTTCATTATCGATTAAATAAGGCATGGTTATGAATATATTTTGTAAGGGTTATTATCTTTATCAAAGTTAGTGTCATTTAATTCTTTAATATAAGGAGAGCAAGCAGAACATAAATAACAAGTCCGACCATGTAAACGGGGTTCAAAAGGACTATCTACTTTTCTAATAACATAATTTCCTATTTTGGTTAATTGGCAAGCATCACAGAAAAAAGTTTTAATTGTTTCCTCTTTATTATCTACCGTGTTTTTGCCTTGCTTTTTTAATTCCTGTATAGTTTTGCCTTGCTCTTGGATTTTAGTTTCTAATTGCTTAATAGTTTGCTTATATTGGTCTTTTTCTTGGCTGACAGTTTTTATTTTTTCTTGGAGTTCTTGCTTTTTCTTTTCATCGGCTTTTTTTATTTCTTTATGGAGTTCGATTTGTTTTTGGAGGGTTAGAATTGAATTATTGGGTGGAAGTGGTGGTTTTGGGATAGGTTTATCCGACTTATCACTTTCATAGCCTTCATCCTCCGATAATTTCTTTGGCTTTTTTAAGTCGGAGGGTTTTATTCCTGCCTTAATTTTTTCTTTTAATTCTTTTTGTAATTGGTCTTTATTCATGGTTATTTGCTAATTCTACTGCCTCACTCTTTTTTTTGAGGATTATAATAATATTCTATTTGTGGTTCAGAGGATTTTTTAGTATTCCGATTAATGTAATACTTTTTCTTTTGATAATTTTTAAGGGGTTGGTTAGTTCGGTTATTTTTCATAATTAATTTGTTCCTATGATAACTAAATAGGTTATTGGCAAACATATAAGGGAAGCAAGTAATATTATTAGTAATTTATCCCTTAACTTTTTAAGAGCTTTTTTAATTTCTTTTGTCATAGCAATAAATAATATCGGGATTATCTTCCATAGTTTCTTCGGAGTCATCAGTTTCGGGTAAATCATCATCCAAATCTGTTCCACATTCAATATAGTCGGTATTAGGTTCTTCAAATTCTTCTATTTCAATAATCTCCTCCCCGACTGGTTCATATTGACAATTCTCTTGGCAGTAGCCACAGTTATTACATTTTAGCATAATTAGTTAATTTTCTTTCTAGTTCTTGGATTTTTTGGTTTAATTTTTCAATCTCCTTTAATTCTTTGCCATTCTTTTTTTCTAATTCTTCTATCCGTTGGCAGTTTTGATTATGTTTGCTTTCTTGCTTCTTTTCTAACTTTATACTTTTATCTTTTAGTTTTAAAGAGTAGTTAAAAAAGAAAACTAATTGAACTATATTGCCGATAAAGGCAATTAAGGCTAATTCACAGCAATTAATATTATTGGGCATGATTGATTAATATTTCTTTATTTGGTTGGTCTTTTTGTTCTGAGTTATCTTCCTTTTCCTCTTGCTCTTCCATTTCCTTAATCTCTAAGGCTTTTTCTTCTCTCTGTTCGAAACTAGTGCCATAGGTTAGAATATGTTCTCCTGGGCAACCTCCTTTATTTTCGAACTCTTCAATACTTTTTTCTCTTTCTCTCCGTTTGTCTCTTTCGAGAGCTATGAATTGGGCTTCGTTTAATTCTATTTCGGGGTTATTTTGCCGTTCTTCTTTTTTGGAAGTTAAATGTCGGATGCCGTATACTCTTCTTAATTCGGAAAATTCCTCTTTGTAATCGGTTCATAATTGTTCCCGTTCTTTATTATTGGTGGCTGAATAGACTTCATGGGCTTTAATTTCGTTGGTAATATCAGGGTTATGAATATTAAAAATATAATCATTTTCCCATTGGTCTATTTTGTAGGCTTTATCCTCTCCATCTACTTTTTGCTCTACTCAATTAATTATTTTCTTTTTGGAGGCTTTTTGGTCTCATTTAATCCTTTGTTTAGTTTCTCACAAATCCTCCAAGTAAATAGTTTCAGCATCTAATAAATTAGGGGTTTTGGTGGAATTGTTAAAAAATAGAATGATTTCTTCGGACTTTAAAAAGATTTCTTTTTTATCGGGTTCGGTTGGTTCTTCATAATTAGCAGGTTTAGTTCTTTGTTTTTTGCCTGATTTAAATTGGATTTCCAGATTATCATAATCTCCTAAATCATTTTCTTGATAATTAATTAAGTCTACGGCTATTCATTTGTTTTCTTTTTGGGAGACCAAATATAAAGCACCCTTTCCTTTTTTAGACTGTTTTTTTTCTAAATCATTTCAGTTAGCCACTAAGGGGCAATTCTCTTGGGAGCATTCTAAATTAGAAATACCGATAAAGTATTGGTGGAAAAATTCGAGGATTTGAGCCTTTCAGAGGTCTTTTTGAGTGGGTTTTTTATTCATAGTAGTTTAGGGAATATTTTTTTAATTTAAAATAGAAATATTATGAGAAGCAAGAAATATCAAAGTCTAAAATGTTATAAATGTGGGGTAAAATTAATAAATAATTCTGAAAGAGTAGGTGATTTTTGTCGGACTTGTTGAAAAACTTATTCTGATGTTTCTTCTTGTGGATTTCGTGATTGTCCTTTAAAAGAAGAACACGAACATTAATCATATTTATCATCATCTTTTCCTTGTATCTTTCGAAGTTCTTTAAATCTATCTTTTACTTTTTCTTTATAACCTAAACTAACCAACTTATTATAAAATTCGTTTTGTTTACTTCTTCAAATGTCATCATGTCCGTTTCCTCTTCCTCATCCTACTCATCATTTAAAATTGGGGTGTCTTTTAACTTCGGGACTAGCATGAGCTGCTTCGTGAGGAATAGTGGGAAAATAACCATAACCACTACAACGATATTCACCACTAGTAGTTAAAGCTCATTTAGCAATATAAATCTTGGTTTTCCCCCTCGGATTTACTCAATAGGTAGGATATAAAGGGAGTTTAGTTTGATAACCATTCGGAAAGGTATGTCATTTTCAATGTTGTCCCTGTTTTCCTTTTTCGATTAAGTTGTCGGCATTTCTAACTATGAAATTAATTCTTTCTTTCATTTCTGGTTCATGGTAGGCTGTTGCTCCTCATGTGCCAACTCCTAAATCCCGGCTACAATCAACCACATAATTATATTGGTTTTTTGGCAAACACTTATCAATCATCTCTTCGGTTAACTTCTCCTGCTCCCTCATTCAAAAGTTCATATCTAATTGGGGTTCATCTCCCCTATCTCTTCCCTCTAAATAATCTTTATTCTCCTCTACTAATGCTTCTTCTTTTGTTTCCTCATAGCCACAAGTAGGGCAAGTTCAATAATCAGAACTTCAACTTCTTTCATCACATTTAGGACATTTAATCATTTTCTTCATAATATTTAATACTTATAAAGGCAAAGGGGCTGTCTTTTTAATTATCCCCTCCAATTTCTCCAAAACTTCTTTTTTGCCTAGGAACTGGACTATACGGCTATCCACCATTCCTTTGATTTCCTGAGCTAATTGCTGATTAGCAGTTAATTGCTTTTCTTGCCGGACTAATAATTTAACTTCTTTTTCTAACCGAACAAAAGGCTTTATTCTTTCGGCTAAATCGGAAAAAGTGGCTGTGGGTAAGTTTAATAATTCTTTTAAATAGGTAAGTTGCTGGGCTTGCTCTTCTTTAAAGTGGGTAAAATTAATTTCGATGGTGGATTTTTGAAGAGATAAAGTTTTGATATCTTGATTATGCTGGATTTTTTGCTGGTCTAATTTAAAAGTTAGTTCTCGGATTTGTTTGCCTTGCTCTTTTTGCTGGGTTTGGTGGTGGGTTGCTAAATCAGCAAGGGCTTTTTTATGCTCTTCCATTAATTCTTGCTTTTCCTGTAAGAATAATTGCCCTTGCTCAGCATATTTATTAGTTCAGGCTAATTCTTTATCTTTAAAATTATTTTCTAATTGTTCTACTAACTTTAAATATTCCTGCTTCCCTTTTAATTTGCTTTTTCCCAAAGCCAGTAAAGAATTTTCTAAATCAGTTATTTTTTGACTATAAAGAGCGTTAGTATTTATCAATTCTTTTAAAGATTTACCGGCTAATAATTTACGGATATCTTTTAAGTTTTTGATTTCTTCTTTGCCTAAAAGAGCAATAATATTATCCAAAGCCTCTTGGAGTTCTTTTTGCTTATCTTGGGCTTGGTTTAGTAGTTTTAAATCGGTGCTATTTTCTAACTGGTAAATATCTTGCTGTAAGGCTTGCCGTTCTTGGTCTCACTTAGTTTGGTGCTGTTTTAGGATTTGTCGGATTTGCTGGTGTCGGTAATTCATAATGGTTTAAATATGCTCTTCACGTGGGTGTATAACAAAAAAAACAAGTCTTATATATAAGATAATAATAGGAGCAATTTTTATACACCACTTTTTTTGGTTGTAGACTTGTCAATATTGATTATCTTTTATGATTGTCATAATTTATATCTTATTATCCTCCTTTAATTTTGACTTCTTTAATATCGGTTAAACTGGTAATCTTATACTTTTTGAGAAACTTTTTCAAAGTTTCCATTTCTTCATTTCGGGTTTTTATTCAGGGTTTCATCTTATTTAAAAAGTCCTCGGCAGTGGTAATGGATTTACCTCCTCACTTTCATTCGTTTAGAATAGAGTTTAAATCAGTTTGAGTTTGTTTTAATTTACCCTCTAACTTTTTAATTTGGGAGGAGTTGTCTCCTCCCTTATTTCGGTATCGGAATTGGGTGATGATTTTCATAATACTAGGTTCCACTATCCACTAAGGCTCAGGCATTAGTGAAAGGTATCATGCCTCCTACTACTTCCACATGATAAGCAAACTTTTCCATCCCTCCTCCGAGGGTTTTTTCATGCTGGATTTCCTCGGGGTTGATAATTCGGTAAACCACTGATTTTTCGTCATGAATAGTGGCAATTACTCCCTGGGCTAGTTTTTTAGGGATAACTTTTTTAAAGATTTTGTGAGGGTTTAATTCACTGTCTCGGACTACATCACATAAAAAATAGATTTCTAAGTCATCCAAAAAGTCAGGGTCTATGGTTAAAACTTTGCTCCTCCGAGTTTCACAGTTGGTTTGAACTTGATTTCAAGCCGTATCTCCCGGTCTTTGGTAGCCTTTGTTATAGTCGGTGGAGATTTCGTCCATTCCGTTATAAGCACTTTTGATTTTTTTGAGAATAACAATGGCTTTATCTAAACTATCCACTGTGGCTTCCTCTTTGGAGATTTCTTGCCAAGCATTAGCATTGTAATTATCTTTATCGGTGATGATTTCCACAATTTTTCGGTTTAAAGTAGTAATGGCTTTGGTTTTCATACTATCAATTAGTCGGTCAATTAAAAGGGCTTGCTGGGCTGGGCCTTGGAGAGCCTGTTTCATTTTTTTAGAGTTGTAAATAGTATAAAAGACTTCATCCATGATTATTTGGAGTTTACAAGAGAAAACGGCTGGCAACTTTTTAAAGTCTTTGCCTTCTAAATCTTTATCTCACTCCACTCCTTCTAAGGGTTGGTCGGTAATAAATTCGTCCTCTGAGCCATAAAACTCGGAGGCACCTTTATCAAAAATAGCAAAATCATTATCAGCATAAATAGATTTAATAGGTAGTTCTTGGACTACTCGGTTTTGTAAATTTTCTAAAATTGGATTGGGTTTTGTCATATTTATTTATTAATTTCTAATTGGATGCCTTTTTTGGCTTGTAATTTGGCTAATTCGGTTAAAAAGTCAGTGGTTTGTTTATGTTGTTTGCTTTCAACTTGGATTTTCTGAGTTTTAAAGGCTTCTTCTTTTCAATCATCTCTTTCTTCGGTTAGTCGGTCAATCATTTTATCTTTGCTTAAAATGGCTTGGTCTCTTTTGACAGCCACATTTTTTCACTCTTCCACTTTATCTTTTAATTGCTTTTTTTCAGCTTCATAATCAGCCTTTAATTTTTCGTAATCTTCACTATTTTTGAGAGGAGTTATTTTTTCTTTAATTTCGGTCATAGTTTTGGGGTATATAGGAGGTTTTAAGGGGTTGGCTATAAAGGGGTGAAAGGGGTTTTGGAGAGATATAAAATGGAGATATAGGAAAGAGATATTATAAAAAAAATCATATTTTGGTATACTTCTTTTCCTCTTCGGATTTATTTTTACATTTAGAGCATAATTTATTAAATATTCGTTCTATACATTTTACCTTTTGGCAATTCTTACAGTACCGATTTAGTCAGATTAGGATTAGAGTTAGTAAGAGCAAGTTTTCTAGAATTAGAATGGTTAAAAATATAAGGCTAAGGCTTTCCATAGACATTTTTGTTTAAAAAGTGTTTAACTTGCTCTTTTTCGGCTTCGGTGAGGGGTTTAGTAGCCACTATTTCCTTGGGCTTGCTAGTATCTAATTTGTCCGGATCTAAATTATCCGAAGTGGGAATTAGGAATAATTTTTGTAAGAAATATTTAATGGCATAGGTTTCAGCCGAACCTTTGGCTTTGGCAATATCGGTATTTTGCCCAGTGGCTCAAAAATGAAAGGTTAAATGCTCTTGTTGGTTTTCACTATTAATTAAAATGGCTTGCTTTTGGTATTGAATTATTCATTCTTTTTCTTGCTTTTCTTTGCTAAAACTATCCTTGGTATCTGAAAGTAATAGGATTAATTTAGTTTCAGCCAATAAAGGCTTTAAAATGGTTAAAATCTGATACTCCGAAACATATTTATAATGCTGAAATCGGTTTTGTTCGGACTTAGTTAAATGGGTTAGTTTACTTTGGATTTGCTCTAATTTTTGATAAATATTGTTAGTGTTATTCATAAATTTTTATATTTTCTTGGGTTAGTAATCTAACTGATTTTTTTTTGATAGCATTCATCATTACAAAAATATCCATCCATATATTTCATTTCTGATTTGGATTTAATATCTCTACAACGATAAAATTCACACATTTTTAATTTGTAATTATCAAGGATAGAAGTTATTCATTTCTCACCTTCTTCCATCCTTTTTTCGTTCCACTCTAACTGGGATTTCAGCAGATTATATTGCTTTTCAATTACTTCTTTGCTTTCTCTATATCACTCTAAACTATGACCGATATGGTTTTTTTGTTCTCTAATGAGTTCTATTTCTTGCTTTAATTTTTTTAATTCTAATAAGTCTTTATTTTTCATATACTTTTATATTTTGGGGGCAGATTTCATGCTCTAATTCTATTTCAATACTTATTCAGCCTCGGCTTTGGTTTTCTTTAAAATTGGTTCAGTCGGTATCTTTATTGGTTCGGTAAGAGAGTAGGTAATTATTAGGAGCTAGTGGGGCAGAGCAAAGACGGCAAACTCTTTTGGTTAGTTGGTAGGCTGGGAGGATTTGTTTTATATTATTAGTGGCTCCCATGGTTTTTTAATATTTCCCAATCCAATAACCTAAAAAACTGCCCGGCTCCCGGTTTCCTTTGAACTTTAAATAGATATTTCTGTTGGTAATCTTCTTTTAATTCTCACTCTTCTAATGCTTGTCAAATGTTTTCCTTTTCTAATCACTCTTTAAAAACTAATATTTCATTTATTTCACTATTTTCTAAATCTACGGCTAACCGTCAGTATGGGTTCCCTAAATATTCCGATTTTTTGTTTCGGACTTTATCTAATTTCTTATTTTTAATAATTCCAATTAATTCTTTATAATTTGTCATTTTTCTGATTTATATTTTGATAATAATTTGTTAAGGCTTCATTTCGGTTAGAAAATGGGCTTCGGCATTTTTTACATTTGCCCTCCCGATATTCGAACTTTTCCACCTCCATTCGGTCGGTTAGTAATTCGGGTTGATTAGTAGCAATTCAATCCATAATCCCAGCATTTCATTCATCCTCGGTTAACTTTTGACCCCATTCTTTTTCTAATTTTTCTCGATGACCCCTTTCTGTTAATTTTCGATTAATGGAGCCACTTCATTTTCTTTGAGAGGCAGCCACATAGCCAACATTACAATATTTCACTTCAATTCCTTTACTCTCAGCATAATCCACTAATTTTTTTCGAAAATTTTGTAAATCAGCATTACAATTACAGCCTTTATAGTAGTAATTTCCCATTTCAATCACCATTTCTTCGGCTCAATTAATATACTTGATAACTCACTGATACATTTCAGTAGTATCATTACTTTTTAAATGATAAAAGTATGATTTACCATAAATATTTAAACAAATTCCCATATTGCCTTTATCAGCTGGGTCAATTGATATTCTTCGGCAGTTTACTATCGGTTCAGCACTTTTTTTCTTTTTCATCGGTTAAAATGCTCGGGGTTGGATAAAGGCTCCACTGTTTCCAGCCTTTAAATAAAAAGTATTAGCAAAATTGCCAATATTCCTATCTAAAAAAGGTTCCATTAGTCCATTGCTTTCGGGGTTAAACAGCACTGAATAATCTTGCTTATCTTTTCCAGTCAGAATAATTTGCTGAAAAGTGCCATTTTCTAAATCTAATTGCTTTCCATATCGGCTTTGGCTAACTTCCATTTGCCATTTAGCACCTTCCTCTTTTTTGGGGATAATGGGAAGTGATTGAATTTCTAACTGGGATTTGCTTTCTTTGGCACTTTTCCACCGTTGGAGGTGGCAGTCTAAGGAAAGTTGTAAAAGTTTAAATTGGAATAAAGAACCATCACTTTTTAAAAAATTGGTTAATAATTTCTGCTGATAAGGATGGGAGGCATTTAAAATTAGTTGTTTTTTCTCTCCAAAAGGTTCGGTTAAAAAATTAATTTGGTAGGGGTTATAATTAGTGGTCTTTTGCTCGGCTAAATGTTTACAATTAACAATAGCAATCGAAGTATCGGTTAAATCATTTCGACTATCTCTAATAATTGGTCGTTCATTTTCCTTTTTTTCTTTCCTTGGTAATTGGTTAGAAAAGTAAAAACCGAACTTAGCATAAATCTTATTCCTTTGTTCGGGGGTTAAAAAACGATATTTACTCCCCTTTTTCTGTTGCTTCTTTCACTTCTTTAAAAACTCTTCGGTTAATTCTGGTAAACGGTCTTTGCTTAACGGATGGACTACTCCTTGCCCTTTGCCTCTCGGTTCTCCCACACTTTCAAAATTGTAATTAGTGGATTTGGCACAGTAGTAAAGTTTAGAGCCATTAATAGCTTCCTGTCCTTTAATTCTCCGATGTTGTAAGTGGTAGCCTCCGGATGGGGAAGGAATAAGTGGTAAACCGAAATAATCAGCCAGTTTTTTATATTGGATTAAGGCTTCTTCTCGTCAAGGTTCACGTCGTTTTTGTTCGATGCTTTTGGCTACATCTATTTCCGTAGTGTAATAATTGTCGGTTTTTAAAAAGGCTCGACCACAAGTAATTAATCAGTAGGCTAAATCTCCTTTTTGAAAATGAGGGTTAGCATAAGAGCAGTGGGGTCGTTTAGTGTTTAGTTTATCCGTTCCCGGTATTTGGCATTTCTCACAGCCACCAAGCTCAAAATGTTTGGGTTTTGGTAATCGAACTAGTTCCCAAGGTTTAGTTTGCCCGTAGTAAACAATTAATCATTCAATATAATTGATAGCTAGTTCAAAAAGAGCAGGCTTTTTTAGTAATAATTCCGAGAGTAGAGATTGATAATGAAAAAAGGGGTATCTAAAAAGGTGAAAATTATTTGACTTGGAATAATCAACAGTAATTTGCTTAGTTTTTTTACTTTCCCATATTTTTGTATTCGGAGGGTTATTTTTGTTTGTTTTTTCCTTTGCATTTTCATTAGAGGGGTTATTATTTTTATTCCTCTCTAAATGGACAATTAGGTCGGGAATAAATGATATTTTTGGTTTAGGTTAGGTTTATTTCTCCTGTTTAATGATTGAAAGGTGGGGAATAAAACTTTTATTTTGCTTGAAAGGTTGGGAGTAAATAATAAATAATATATAATATTATTTGCCAAATTAAGTTAATTTTGGGTAAATTTGCCAGAGAATAATTTCTGGAACAGTAAACAAGGGCTAAGTCCAATTTAGGAAAGGAAAAACTAAGTAAAGTGGTTGGTGATTGGTAAATTTTTTAACTATTCGCCTAAATCATGATAAGTTAAAACTTGGCACAGTGAAAGGTCTAACAGAACTAAATGAGAGGACAATGCGCTAATCAAAGACTTAAAGAGCCATTTCAAAGAGAATGGATAAGAACTCAGCTGAAAGTCGCCAACGCTTCGCATCGGGAAACTTAAAAAATGAAGTTGCGAGCCGGTTTACCTAAAATCTACTGGCTTTACCGGCATATTCAAAAAAAAGTTAGTAGTCGTTTTGGAAAAAACGGGCAAATAGGAGTGAAGGACTTTTTTATCTCTCTGTTATATAAACAGTAAAGCAAGGCACTTATAAGAAGTTAGAGGATAAAAGAAAAAAAAGAGTTATTTATGATTTCTAATTATTAGAGAAAAAAGGATTTCAATTTCTCTCTCGTGCTTTGTAGTTGAGGGTGAGCGAAGCACCGGTGGCACAAAGCACGAAAAAGGGATGCTTAAAAAAATGAGATTACCAAATCAGCAATTATTTAATAAAATTAGCCGATATATCAGCAAACAAGATGGGGGGAAATATTGTCTTTTTTTGTTGGGAAGTCAAGTAGGTTTACGGGTCAGTGAAGCAATAAGTTTTGATTACCAGTTAAAGCATCCTCGGCATAAAGATTTGTATTTGGTAAAGGTCAGAAAAAACGTTATGTTTATGTAAGTAGGGAAATAATTAGCGAACTAAAAAATAATCACCGAAAACCAAGCCAAAAAGGAGAAAATCATACTTTAATATTCTGTGTTCAGAATGTAAATGACAGAGGAG